GTTTACGATAACCAGGATCCCGTCTTGATCGAGCATATCCCAGCCTGCCTTCTGCGACTCGATGTCCGACGTGGCGTTGAAGACTAGCGCGAGCGGTGTATCGCCCAGGATATCCTTCACGATGTTATAGACAGAAGACGAGGGGGTGGAGGTGTAGTCCAGGACGTGCGTTGCGCCTGCGGACTTGCAATACGCCTCGTTATGCTTCGACGCTGTCGCGATGATCGGGCCGAAGCCGGAGAGCTTCGCGAACTGGATGACTGTCAGACATCGTCAGCCCCTTCAAGCTGTAGCCCGCTCGGGAGTAGGACGCTTACCATACTGCCCAAGAGAACTCGCTCCGCCCAGCACAACCAGCGCTTTTCCCGCATACTTGTCCCTCCCGCCCTCGACCCACGGCGCCACGAATCCTGCACCGCCCACATCCTGTCCATCGCTCCTCAAGCTCTCGCTTTTACGTTCGTACAGACCAATAGCGGCCGTAGCGAGCGTGAGCGGTATCGTCGCTGCCTCTTCGAATGTCGCATTGTCGGGGACACGCGCGATGCGCTCTGCATCCGCGATCACGAACTCTTGAAACGTTCCTCTATCGGGAGAGAAGTACGATTGGAACAACACCCGCTCGCCTACACTCCACCCTTTCACCTCCGAGCCTAAAGCGGCGATCGTGCCCGCGCCGTCTTGACCCAGGACGATGGGCCATCCGAACGCGCCGAGCAGGAAGCCTGTCTTGCCGATGATCCAGTCTGCCGGGTTGAGAGCGACGGCGGTAGTACGGACGAGGACTTGCGTTGGCCCAGGAGTGGGCGTGGGGCGGGTGTCGACTTCGAAGGGGCCGCCTGCGGTGCGCAGGAGGAGGGCCTTGTGTTCAGTGGGCTGGCTAGACATCGTTGGATGGACACCGTGGCGTCGTATAGGTAAGGGTTCTGTGTTACTACGATGCGGGATCTGGTACTTATACCCGTCACAGTCTTCGATATCAAGCCGACCAGCAGTGGACATTGTCGAACCCATACTCCAGTCTGACTAACGGAGTGCTGCGGGCGGCTTTTGGTACATTCATTTGGGTTTCTCAGTATAGACCGTATATGGAGGGTAACTGCGCGGGCTCGGGGATATACTGGTCGCCCGTACCCTGAAAGTAATGCGACACCGGTTCATGAACCGTCAGTCGGTCCATCGACCGATTTCGGATCATCCCGTCAGCTGAGATGATATAGCGTACTACGTTACATGTACACCGAGTGATTCATCGTCTCATGAGTGTATCCTACCCACTAGCGCGCACGCCAGTATTGTTTCTGTTGCGGGAATATTTCGGTGATGGCCGACGGCTGCTCGGCCCGGCGTACACAGTCACAATCGCGAATCGCGACTGTCTTCCCGACCGCCACCTGTAGTCGAAGTCCTCCGACCTTGTTTTATGGGGAACATCGATCTACGCCACGGAAGACCCTTTGCATACTTCCGCGCAAACTACTACACTCATCCTCTTGCATCGCAACACGGTCTTGATATATTGATTCGGCGACGTTTGTCTCCATGGATCCGTGACGCCTCAAGACCTCAACTACGGACAATCCGCTGACGGGTTTCACGGAGACCTGGACTTGTCTTCGTTCGTATTGTGCGACTCAGATGGCTCTACATCCTCGCACGCGCCCAGGCTATGTCAAGACGCCCGTCTGCGCAGATACCTTCGTGCAATTGACACGCAGAGGCAAAAGCTTCACACGGGGCAATTTAGAAGCTGCACCACGCAGTGCGAGGATCTACACAAGCCATTGGTTACCATCATACTCATTGTGCTAGTGTTCCAGCAACCTTTGAACCTATAGTTGCTACCTCGCACCGACGAGGAAGCTCTACAAGGCCTAATGCTGTGACACGGCCTCCGCGCTTATGCCATTCTTTTGACCGACCCTTGTTTCTCCACGTTTCATGGACAAAAGGTTGTCAATGTAGCGCAGTACCACCCTTGAGAGCAGACTCACGCGCTTCGCGGCAACACCTTGTCTTCAGGTTCCCCCTCGTGTCAGTGCCACGTGCAGTTAGCATCGTTGTTCCTGGTATATATAGTGAGCTGCAGACTCCTTCGAATGCACCACTTAAACCCTTTCTCGCCCAATCTCCTAGAGATATCACGCTACCAACTGTCAACGGACATTATGTCTTGTTCACGAATTGAACTTTTCACAGCGCGAGGCCACTGGTCTGTCTCCCTGGTGGCGATGTCGGACATACTGCGTTCGTTCGCATGCGGGCGTATAACTGCAGGCAATGGATCTGTAGAGGTACAACTTTATCATAGAAGAACCGATGGTAAGTTTGAAATTGTCAATGCGTTTGAATACGGTGACTATGTACACTCACACCTCAAAAACAGCACGATGCTTGTTCATCTGGGATGGTGAGCCCAACGCTACGGCCCTTTTCTTTGTGGTACCAACGCCAGGCTTCCCAATGAGAGTGCGTGAAACTCACGATGAGTGGTCACACTTGTACTGATGTGACAAAGATAAATGGTCGGTCAGCGAATCCTGGCGAGCTCTGTTCCATTGAGCGCGACAGCATGATATCGATCGACCTCTCACCTAACTCAAGTAACCGCCAAAGGGTCGACGTTAAGTTCTGCGCTTTCTGGTCCAATAACTGATGATGCGCAGAGTGTACTAAAATTACTGTGGAGTAACTTGTTGCTGTACGGGCCATTGCCACTATTGATCCCCTATGCACCATCGTACCCCTATATGGATGTATCTATCAAGTACACACTTGGCATGCGTTTATGCTAATGTATATCGAGTGAGTGTCAATTAGAGACTGAGATATCATAGCAAGAGATGTTTTGCGCATCCCGGGTCAAGCGAGGGGGGCGAATAACGCGGACAAGTAGGCGCGTCGCGCTCTGTCGCCCTTTGCTATACACGCGCGGTAAGTCACGTGTGCGCGCCTTGAGTGTCGACCGAATCCGCGCGCACGCCTGTGCAGGCCTGTGCTCAAATGCACAACGCCATCAGTCTGAACGTACAGCACGCAATGCGTCTCGTTGAGTATGTGCCGCAGTGCTACCAGCCCATGCCGGTCATCCATGTATCTGGACGAGGTACCTGCCCCGTCTTAGCAATGAGTGAGCATGCCCGCACACGGGAGATGCCGGTCACCCCGGGAAGGGAGCAACACCGCTGAGACGCGTCATGACAAGAACGGCCACCATCTTCATCTGGGTCCGCAAATCAACACTAAATAAACTTCATGGAGGCACAAATCTTGATATAGACGGTCACTTCGGTCGGTGAGGGAAGCTTCTTACCACTGGCGGTGTGCGGTGAACGTTGATCCCTTGGGGGTTGTAAAAGATTGTACAACACTGGCCAACTGGTCCTCCGTATCCTTGATCTTCCTCTCTAAATAGCTTTTCATCTCTGTCTTGGCCAGCTTCATTACGGGTCACCCTTACTCCCCAGCGTTACGCAGGCAATAATAAAGCACGACGCGCTTCGCGGCTTGAACTAACTCTTCACCGACGAGGCCGCAGCGCTTGCGTTTCAGAGCTCTGCTGAGCCTACTGATACTCTCATGCTTAGCGATCACTCTTATTCACTGTCTTCTGACAGGCGTGATACACGGACGTTTCTCGATGGTTCAAATAGCGGCGGGCTCGCCTCTATATCTTCGTCCATACATCCCCAGTTTCCCAGACGCGATCCCAACTGAGCGCTACCTATGACGACCTTCGCACACTATCCCCTCACCATCTCGGTACTCAACACTGTCAAGCACAACCTCTGGTTTAGCGTCAACCTCTGCACAGATAACTTTCAATTGCCAATACGACGTGAACCACCCGTCTGGCAGCCCGACGAAGGGGCGTATGTTGTGAGACTAACTCTAGCTGAGGGACACCCTCGAACAGGCGCGCATCTTTCGTATATGTCTTCTTCAGATGCTGACCGGCTCTATCAGAGGACGGTATTGAAATCTTCTGGAAAGGCAAGCGCGATTACTCCCATGGCGACTTCTGGATCTCCACCCGGAATGTCCGGTCATACGCGAAAAGGGGCGGGGTGAGTATGCGGCACTTCCATACACCGGCTTGACCAACGTCTGATGCATCTCCTCAGGCTCGTCTTGACAATCCCGGCCAACGATGCCGGCGACTTACCCTCGAGGATAAAGATCAACTGACGGTGGTGTTGGACCCACACAGCTATAATTGGGCGATGAACCTTACTTTCGAGATCAAACGTATGCGCCCGTCAGACGATATGCCCTCCGGGCCTTGTCCAGACGCACAAGCCCTTTCCGAAACCTTCGGTGGGAACGCGAGTGCGTACCGCGAGATGATCCAGTATCGGGGCCTACATCTACCTCAGGCGAATTGATGTCGTCTTCATGTCGTCTATCGTATGCACAAGTAGTGGACGCTCCATATGATACGTCCGTGTCTTTCATGTTTACTTCTCTATGCTATAGGTACTGTGAATGGACCATACACTCTCCAGTCACCGGGCCGGCAAATGCCGATTGTTCGGCAACTTGGTGACAGTCCATGGTCCAACTCGGATCATCGGGCAGCGCCAGCCTTGTCCTCAACCACCACCACGAGAACCAAATATCGTCCCGTTATACGCATTCACAGTCTTTGACGAACGACATGGTTCTCTTCTGTAATGGAGTTCGTGATTGCACAGCGCCCTTAGCCAATCTCAACTCTACCAAGACTTCGAGAGGGCGACAACGCCTTCGTATTTCCATCTTCGCCGTGCTTCCTCTAGCCTTCATCATTGCTGGTGACTCGCTCCGCAAGCCCATCTCTAACCGTGTTGCAGCGTTGATCTTTTTTCGTGGCCTCTGGCTACCTCTCGTGCAACTTTACGAACAGAATGTGGGCACCGGTGCTGCCCGTTCGATTGTTCCTCACTGGACGTCGTGGTCCGACCATCCAGAAGAGCTAACTTACCACCTATGGTTCATTCCTTTACTCGACCACATTCAAACAGGGATAATATAAATACGAGCTGGTAAGAGGGTACATTTCCTCAAGCCCAGCAATCCGCCCCAGCCTCCACCTCCACCTCCACTACATCTTCAACTCTCGATGGCAACCCCAGCACCATCAATTCCGAACCATCCTAACGGATGGATATCTCTAGCACTGCCGGGCCAAGATGTGTTTTCAAACGGGCTCAATGCTCTTACGGACGGCCTAGTGCTTTTCAGGCCGCGACCTATCTCTCGGGAGGTGGATGGCTCGTACTATTGCGACATTGAGTGGAATGACATACAGAGAGGAGAGTGGAAAGGTGCGTGCCATTTCACTGTCTGCTATGTATGTGGTCGGGAACTGGGCGCTGATTCTACTTGATATTATAGCTATCTGTAGGTTCCGCATTCGCGTTACGGCTATCATTCGTTATACGGTGGAGCGAGTCGGCGCTGCTCCCGATAGCCCCCGGATATTCGTGCGTCTCTTCTCTTTCAGCTGCAGGCTGTTCAAACTCCTATGTTATGTGCTTAGGTCGAAGGCTCTGAGCTCGCACTGGGCGAAGTGCGCTCCATGCGTCATAGAGAGAAGATGTCGTTCCAATGGGGAACTCGACCGAATAAGCTCGAGTATCCATTCGAGTTCAGACAAGTCACGACCGCCGTCTTATAAGGCGGGCATTCGGTCGTTGTATCTGTAGTATACCCCTGTAAGATAGATCATACGTCCTATATCCATGGTTACTGCTCTTGCCTTTTGAGTCATTCGGGTTGGGATCTCGTTACTGTAAGAGTTCCTTCGTACATGGTGTGCGTGTGTTCAAGACGGATCACGGAACGCATCGGGAGCGGGACCACACCGTCGACCACACTCCTCCGAGTCGACGCGACGCCTCTATCCCCGCCTTTCCTCCACCAATACCACTCAGTACACTCTCAGCAGCACACGTCCATAACGTAGACGACGAAGATCACCTGCCTCAGTACGTTCTCATCGTCGTCGAGGCCAAGCTCGGCGCTCGTCGGCCGCGCCTGCCCGTCGTACGCCGAAGACCCCTCTGGCCTTGGGAAATCGTGAAGGCGGCGCGCTCGAGACGAGTCTAGCTGGGCGGAGATGAACGTCAGTACGTACGACTCAACGACGGGGATAGACGTATTCTGATACTTGCGCTGCGCTGGTCGACGTGACGATGCGCCGTAGACGCCGCGCCGGCATCTTCGACTCGGAGCGAGCGCAACGGAGGCAGGTTCAGCAGCTCAGACCACACATGGCCACTCCGAGTCAGTCGCCACACCCAACCATGCGCCTCATTCTGCTTCATTGAACACCACCACTCCACCCACATACGACCAACGAACGTGCTGTGCCGAAATGAAAGACACGGCGCAAGAGTCGTGTGTGCTTCTTTTTGCTCGCGCAGCATGTCAGCATGCCGTCAAGTCGACTGCTTCTTTGGCTTCGGGCCTTCGACGGAGGCGCGCATCGGTGCTCCGAGGGTCGTGTATGCGGGCGAGCATAGAAGAAGGGGGTCCGGAGGATGGAGGATGGAAGAGCGGAGTAGTGCGATCGTAAGGATGGACGCGAGCGAGTAGGGTAGGTGGGTTGGGAGTAGACTGTGAGGATATCATTGGTGCATGGCTAGCAGCTGGCAGCTATCCGCTGACGAAATAGGGCGTGTGCACAGATCGTCCATTTCTAGCGCGCAAAGAACCCAAAGCACGTCCACGCTTCCATAACCGATCGCGCGAGTCCCTCCGCTGAAGCCGGCCGTGCCGATGCATATCGCATACGAGCGCATATAGCACGAAACCGAGTCAGTCAGCTGTCTCGAGTTCTGTGGAGCAAGTATACGAAGCCCAAACCGGCCGAACGGCCGTGGCCCGAGCGTTGGAGAGTTGGAGTCGCACCGCTGCGGCCGTAGTCGTGCAGATGAGGCGCGCTTGATGCGGGGTCGTGCGTGCTCTGGCGTGATGACGGGTGGGGTGCGAGCTTCATTGATGACGAGCCCTGACGGCCTGACGAGCTGAGTTGGAATTGGTTTGGAATTGGATTTGGATGAGCGAGCGAGGCTCGAGATAGGCTGGGGGTCACGAGCGCGGAATGGGTTCAATAAGCGCTGAGAGAAGAAGTCGGTGCCCTTCGCGGAACTTTGCTCGGTCTGCGTCGATGGAGCTCGGAGGTACTGTATTGTACTGGCGGGAGCGCACGACCAGGTTGAGGTCGCCGTCGACGACGCCGCGGCGAGATGAACTCGTCGCGCCGCGATAAACGAGGACCCACAGATCAATTAAAGCACGATCACGTCATCCCATTTGGGTTTCATCAATTGGGCGCGAGCCTCGTGTTTCGCGCGCGGGGGCAACTGCATTGCTTTGTTTGAAATGCGAACATCAGAGATGCGCGAGGGGCAGTAGAGAGAGCCGAGCAATGGCGATAGACGATAGACGACGCGGCTAGCTGTGAGGGCATGCGTTGTAAGCTAGAGTTTAGGCTTTGTCGCGGTATGGAAGCGGGGGGTGTGAGCACGAGCGGGGTCCAGGCGCGACGAGACAGGGGCTTTTGGGTGCGGGGGTGGCTCCTGGCTGTGCTGTGCTGAGCGCGATAAGCGCGACGACGGCGGGCGGCAGCAACGGCGGCGGCGGGTATGATGGGGACGGTCGTTAGCGTACTGGGATATCAGACAGGGCAATTAGGCGCTGTGTGATGGGAGGAGGCTGGTGAAATGAAAGGGTGGGGAGAAGCGCGGGACGCTTGTCTGATAGCGACCGCCATGGAGAACGAACAACAGACTGTCCACGGCCTCGTCTACCCCAACGACCTCCTCAACGCTTTGCCTGTCTTGCTCAGCCGCCCGGCGCCGCACACGCCCATCAGACAGCTGAACGCCGAGCAGCTCGCGTCGCTCCATCTGCGCGCGCAGCTCGCGCACGCCCCCGACGGCGTCCTCTTCCCCTTCCTCCACGGCCTCGAGGGCGCCAACGACGCCCAGAACTCCTTCTTCCAGACCGGCTTTGTCCGGCAACCCGATGGGCGGCGCGGGCCGGCGAAGGTGCCGCGGTTCCGGGGCCTGATATTCGTCGCGGCCGAGGACGAGGAGGGGGAGGGCGAGCAGGAGACGGAGAGCGACGAGGACGTGTTTGAGGACAGCGAGGACGAGGAGCAGGAGACGACGTTTGCGATGGACGAGGACAAGTACATGCACCCGCTCGCCACCCGCTCGCCGTCCGACGCCTCGTCGCTGTCCTCCCCGCCCAGTCCGACCTTCACAGCCGCGTCCTACGCAAGCACCGCGCCCACCTCGGCGCCCTCGTCGCCCAGCCCTTCCCACGGCGACTGTCCGACGCCGATGCCGTTCAGCCATATGATGCTGCCGAAGCTCACGAGCACGTTCCGGGCCAAGGAGCTGCTGGACCCCCGCGCACGCGAGGGCCGCTTCATGCCCGTGCACGTCCCCGACGGCATCTCCCTCCGCAACTTTGGCATCCAAGTTCCCATATACGCTACGCTGTCCGATATCGTGGTCTACAGCCGCCGGGCCGACTCGCGCCGCGCGTTTGCGCTTGCCGAGCGGTTCAAGCAGGCGGTGGAGGCTAAAGCCGAGGAGCGCGCGCACGCGGGCGCGGAGGTTCCCGTGGCGTACAACGTATTCGTTCTCGACGCACCCCGCGCAGACGTGCTCAGGCATCTCGGTCACGCGCTCCAGCGCACCGTGCCCCACGCGCCGCACACGGACGGCACCGACGCGCACACGTCGAACGACTCGCCGCTCCGGCCCGACATCTGTCTGGCCGCGAACACGGTCAACTTTGCGCAGCGCGAGAAGGACGAGATGCGCGATCTGACGCGCGCGTCCGAGATCCTGTCCACGCCCGCCGGCGGCGCGCTCTGGCTCGGCAACGCGGCAGACGTGCCCCTCGCCCCGCCCTCGCGCGATGCCTCGCCCTTCGACTCCGGCCCGAACGTCGCCGCGCAGGGCCGCGGCTACGACGTCTGCGTCGAGTGCCACGACCGCGCGCCCGTGCCGACGCCCACCCATCTCCGCGCCGCAGAGGAGCATCTCGCGGCGCTTGCCGCGGCGTGGGCCAACACCGCCCACGGCAAACAGAGCGTCCCGCGGCCCGCGCCACATCCCGGCGCCGTCGTCCATTTGCCTTTCCCGTCCAGTCCGCAGAACGTGAGCGCCGTCACGCCGTTCCTTGATTTCCTGGCTAGGGTCCTCGGGCCGCAGGAGAACGGCGCGCGGCCGGCGAAGGTGCTCGTGTGGAGCGCGGACGGGTATACGGAGAGCAGCGTGCTGGCGCTCTGCAGCATTATGGCGGGCAAGGGCTTGGGGCTGCCCGAGGCGTATCTCGAGCTGCAGGTCGAGAGGCGGCGGAGCTTTTTCGTATACCAGTCCGATCTGGGCGTGCTTAGGCGCGTCGAGGCTAAACTCGCAAGGGAACGCAAGATCGCGGCTGCTGGAGAGGCTCATGACGCGCACGCGGCGCTCGGCGCGCCGGACGGGCGGAGCAACGTCAATGGATGGGGAAAGAACAATGGGCACGCGCATAGCGCGACTCTGCCCGGGAGTCTGCCGAGCAACTACAACTACAACCACGGGTACGAAGAGATGGCGCTCGACACGTCCGCGACGGCTGCGTCGCCCTCTGCGCCGTCGATCGACGACATGTCGCCCTCGTCCGCGCCGGCAACCGCCGCACCAGTATTGCCTAACCCGCTCGCGGCATCGGCGTCGGTTCCGCTGCCGCCTACGCCGCCGGCCACGGTGCCGAGTCAGCTTCATCTGCATGCGCCGCGCAGGCCGAGGGCGAGCACGAGCCCGATGCTGGGCCCCGCCGCCGGCGATCATGGGGCCTGGTTCGACGATCCGCGGTTCGACGGCAGCTTCCCGAGCCGGGTGTTGCCGTTCTTGTACCTGGGGAACCTGTGAGTGGTCATTCTATTACCGATTCGAGAGCGTGAGCGCTCCGTGCGAGGACGGAGCGCGCGTGATGGCGGGATTCGCACTTGATTCGCATGAATCCTCTTCCTGTTTGGGTCAAAGGCAGAACTGCACGGCGCTGACGGGTTGCCTTGTTTGGCTTTGTAGGAACCACGCTTCGAATGCGTATATGCTGCATGCGCTGGGCATCACGCATGTCGTGAGTGTTGGCGAGTGCGCGCTTGTACCGCCGTCGGCGTCGTCGGCTTGTCCGAGCCCGAGCTCGAGCGCGCCGGGTCCGGGCATTGCTGGGCCGCCTACTGGTCATATTGGGCGCCGCCGTCAGGTAAGAATCTTCGTGTATACTTTTAAGAGTGTAGTGCTGACGCTTGATCCTGTCAGGGCTCGCTGTACATCGAAGAACGTGAAGGTCGCATTAAGGTGCTCGATATCAAAGGCGTATGCGACGACGGAATCGACACGCTCGAGCCGCAGCTCGCACCCATCTGCGACTGGATCGAGCGCGCGAGATGCGAGGGCGGGAAGGTGCTCGTTCACTGCCGTGTGGGCGTCAGCCGGAGTGCCACAGTCACCGTAAGCACCATCCTATCATTAGGGTCGTGATTGAATGCTGATAAGATTGGCTTTGGCAGATCGCATACGTGATGAAGCACCTCGCGCTCCCGCTCGTCGACGCGTACCTCATCGTGCGCTCGAGAAGGCTGAGCGTGCTCATTCAGCCCAACATGCGGCTGCTGTACAACCTCCTCGGCTGGGAAGTCCGGCTCGCACTCGAGCGCGCCGCCGCTGCCGTCCCCCAAGCGTCCGACGGCGCTGATGAGAAGATGGACACGGACGCCGAGCAGATCACCAAGTCCGCTGTGACTGAGGCGCTCGCGGGCGCTTCTGCGGCATCCGCTACGATTGATGTGAGCGTTGGTGCGGTGGAGAAGGCGGGCGGGATGCAGGTGAAGGATGTTAGGACGCCGAGCCCGGTCGAGGGGAAGAAGATTGTTGAGGTTGGGGGCGCGAGGGTGGATGAGGATGTGTTGAGGGCGGAGATGGCGAGGGCGCTGAGCTGGCCGTATTTGGCGAGGGAGGTGCATCGGTTGAACGAGAAGTATTTGCATTGAGCGTGCATATACATTCCTTCACCTTCACCTTCACCGCGCACAGTGCCCGCCCCCGCGGTCATTTTCCGTGTCGCGTACACACGCCGCCTCGTCGCACACTTGCCCGTCATCGCTTCCTCTCGTCTTGTCCTGCTATCTATCTCCCCGCTTCGCTCCCGTCCTCACGAAACAAATCAAAACCACTGTTTTTATAGCTTGTACTAACACCCTCCCCTCCCCTCATCTCCCTCTCCATTCTTCCCTCCCATCTCTCAACCCCACCTCGCTCACCCACCCACCCGGAACTCGGAATACATGTACCATCACCCCACCCCCGCACCCTCATCGTAAAGTATCGTATGTGCCACTGTAGTTGTCTCCCAGTCTCCGTGCTCAGCTGTGTTTCTCGTTTGTTCCGTCGTGTTTGGTATCGCCGTCGTCGTTTGTTGGAAGTCGTGCATTGTGCATTGTGCGTTGTGTTGGTAGTGTAGTGTGTGTTTATATATCGTTGTTGGATCTGCACGATTAACTACAGATTGCTGTCGGGTGGCCGAGATGGTGACATTGTTGTATTACATAGTTGTGGACGTGTCTGTCAGGTCTAGGGAACTGATGCCGAGTCGGGTATCTTCGTCGCTGCTGATGCTGGTGGGCGGTACTGGCCGAGAATAAAAATTCTATGAGTATGTTATCCAATGATTCGACCCGGGCTCGAACCGGGGACCTTCTGTGTGTTAGACAGATGCGATAACCAACTACGCCATCGAACCATGTTCAATTGTCTTATCATAAACACCATATATTAGAATGCTCACGCATATGAGCCGCTGCGAACGCGCATTGGTAACCGCGCATGCTTCTCTCCGTCCATCATGGTCTCAGGACAACACCTTGTGCTTCCTCTGCAGGGCGCACTGAACGCGACCCACCTGCATGAACGAAGCTGCTTCGTTGAAGCTCTTCGACGTTACAGCGAAACCCACACCGTCCGTCCCGGCTTGTGTCATTCGGCGACTCGTCTGTGGCTTCCATCCCCTTTGGGACTCGGCTTTAAGGTGTACCGTAATGCCAGACGGTGTTTACATGTAAGACTAGATGGATACGTGTCTGGCTGACTAGAGATATGGCGTTAAGGAGTAAGCTGAGCGCTCGGCTTTAGCTGGGACGATCGTCTAGCTTCAACCGAAGACCTGCGTTGGACGTCGGACGTCCTGCGCGTCAGAGCTTTGCGAGCCATTCATTTCAGTATCCAGGAATACACGCGATATGATGCCCAGGAAACTTTCCTTCCACAGCGACTAGTCTTCTCTTGTACCTGGTCTTCGCCAAGTCGCTGTCACGGTCGGAGGAGACCCACTGGTAGCATCAGTACGATGCGTATTCGAACACGCCACCGCGGCGATCTTGCCGCAGAGTGCTCTGCGTGTTTGAGAGCGATGGCTTAGTCTTTCGGGCTTGCCTGCAGCATATAAAGGCGGTCGTTGTTTGCAATCAACCTCATCAACATCTACAGTCTTTTTTCACTGACCCACGAGACTCTCACTGCTACCACGCCAGGATGTCCGAAATCGTCCACGTCGCCGAGACTGATATCTTCACGGCTGTACACGAGTACGTGCATCCCGTACTATGCACTTGGCTCTGCTGATGCTCTGCGTAGCGTGTACCCGCTCATCGATCCGACACCACACTTCACCAAGCAGACGTACAAGAACAAAGTCGTGCTCATCACCGGCGGCTCAGTCGGCATAGGCTTCACCACCGCGCTCTTCTATGCCAAGGCCGGCGCGAAGGTCCTCATTCTCGCACGTCGCGTCGAGAAGCTCGAGGAGGCGAAAAAGAGCATCGAGAAGGATGTTAAGGGCGCGCAAGTTCTCACGCTCTCCGGCGACATCTCCGATATTGAGGTTGGGAAGCGTGCGGTGAAGACTGCCGTTGAGGCGTGGGGTAAGGTGGATATTGTCATTGCGAACCAGTTCACTATCCTTGCGGGCCCCGATAGCAGTACGTCTCGTTTTAGCTGCTTACGCGACGGGACAGGGTTGACAATGCCGTACAGAGTTCGCTGAGAAGGATTCTTTGGCCTGGTGGAAGACTCAGGAGGTCAATGTGCGGGGCACTCTGAGCATCGTGCAGTGAGTAGCGATGGACCGTAGTTTTGGCCATGAAACTCATCGCTTGCAGTGCGGCCATTCCCGAGCTTCTCAAGTCGAAGGGCCAGATCATCGTCACGTCGTCTGCGGCGGCGCATTTCCGTCTCCCGTCCTTCATGGACTACAGCGTACGTCCACCCGACGAATCTCAGAGATCAAGTGCACTGACGGTCTGTGTAGGTCAGTAAGCATGCACTCAACCGCTTCGCGGAGATCCTAGCCTTGGGTACGCGCAAAGATCCGTTGTCGTCTGCTTAGCTGTGTGCCCACTGACATATCTACGTAGACTATCCAGAGATCCCTATCTACTCCGTGCACCCTGGAGCCATTCTGACTCCTGGTGCTGACGTATCTATGAACAGCATGGGTCTCCAGGGCCTCCCGCTCCCGGATACGCTCGAGCTGCCCGCGGCAACGTTCCTCTGGCTCACTGCGCGCAACGCAGAGTTTCTCAGTGGACGGTATGACTCGCACTGTATTCTGATTTGGGTAAGATCGGCTGATTTAGCGTCGCAGATACATACAGGCTATGTGGGACCTTGGCGAGGTTGTGGCGATGAAGGACGAGATCGTCAAGGAGAACTTGTTGGTTACGAAGTTGGCGGGTCCGGTGAGATCTGCGTGAGCATGAAACCTCGAGACCTTCAGCATTGCGCCTGTACATACGTGCTAGAGTCGTGTAGATAGACGGCGCTGAGCGATCAACTCGTGCTTTGCGGGCGAAACTAGGCATTGTTTTGAATATGTATCTACAGATGCAGTGGACGAGCAAGTATAGACAGCAACTTCTGATAGTCAAGTATGGGCGAAGTGCTTCATTGCATATTCTGTAGCAATCCGAGTGCCTCTGGCGTATGAGTGCACTGCAGTGAGTCGGTAGGCCGGGGCCCGAGCACGCGTGGGGATAAACTTCCAGGTGCCTCTCCCGCGACTTTCTTTCTGAACGGTCATGAAGCGAACTATACCACTACCGTACTTTGTGCCACTGAAGCCTCGAAGAGTACAGTACGAGCTAATCAACCATTTGATGACTACGCGGTGAACCAGTCGACTGACGACGAGCGCCAAATCATGCCATGTTTTCACATCTCGACCCGTCGATGTGGACCCCCTTCACTCGAAACACACGCACAGCGCGAGTGCGTTTCCTTGAAGCTGCTCTGCCCTGCCCTGCAGGCTGAATATTCACTCCAGCCAAGACTGGCGGCCGCTTGTCACTTGACCTACAACCCTGATGACATCAGCAGCATCACTCGACGTGCTACTCTGATCCACCTCGATGTCGACCCGCGTTCATCGGATCTGCACCTCTGCGAAGCTCGCATCAGCTTCGCATATCCAGTATGGGCCAGATATCAGTCCGCAACGCTTCAAGAGTATAGCCAGTCTGAATGCGTCGTCAGCCTCTGTGGGTTCGCACGTCGCGCGACGCTGTCAACGGACTGTTAGCCGTCTGCCCGGCAACGCGTCATCTTGCGGCACTGTGGTCTACCGCGGTCTCTGGCCTTCTTTGACGACAACCAACGTCGGTTCCCCAGTCATATCCACGGGACTTCCGTGGTATTTGCAACATGAGATGCTGAGAGGCTCATATCGCTCGTGTAAGACCGAAGGCCGCACTGTATGGTGGTCTTCGGTGAACTAGTACTTAAGCAGGTCGACTGAGGTTTACCGCCGTTCATACCCATTCACCGCACACCGTATCTGCCGAGCAAAAATGGCCGACTTCAAGAAGCCCTTTGTAGAAGAGATCGAGATCTTCAGTCCCGTACACGAGTGAGTCGCGTTGCTCTGCGTTGTGAAGAACATGGTCTGACGTTACACAGTGTGTACCCATTGATCAGCCCCGACTCTCACTTTGCGAACAAGACCTTCAAGGATAAGGTCGTCATCATCACTGGCGGATCCGTCGGCATTGGCCTCACAACTGCCCTCTTCTACGCTCGTGCCGGCTCCAAGGTTCTCATCGTCGCGCGCCGCGTCCCGATCCTCGAAGAAGCCAAACAGAAGATCGAGAAGGAGGTCCCTGGAGCTCAGGTTCAGATCGTCGCTGGTGACATCTCCGAGCCTGAAGTCGGCAAGCGCGTCGTAGATGCGGCCGTCCAGACCTGGAGTAAGGTCGACATCGTCATAGCTAACCAGTTTACTTCTGTCGCCGGACCCATCAACAGTACGCACATCTTTTCATTCGGGTGTGAAGTTGTGCAGACTGACGTAACCGACGCTCAGAGTTCGGAGAGAAGGATCCCAGTGCGTGGTGGACCACTCAGGTGGTCAACGTTCGCGGGACTCTGAACATTGTTCAGTAAGTGACTTGTGACCAACTGGCATGCGCACCGACTGATAGTTTGTCCTCCAGCGCGGCTCTTCCTGAGCTTCTCAAGACCAAGGGTCAAGTTCTTGCCACCACTTCGGGGGCTGCACATGCTCGCCTTCCTTTCTTGATGGATTACTGCGTATGTGCGATCGATTTGACCGTTACCACTCCGTTATGACGTCTTGATAGATTAGCAAGCATACTCTCAACCGCTTCATCGAGATCCTTGCATTGGGTATGCTCCAATGATCGATCTACTATGACTATTCAAAACTAACCATCATTCTACAGATTATCCTGAGCTCAAGTTCTATGCCCTTCATCCTGGAGCAATCCCCACTCCTGGATCTACAGCTGCTGTAGCCAGTATGGGTTTGCCAGAGGGTGCCCTTCCGCAACCTGATACGCTTGAACTTGCCGCTGCAACCTTCCTTTGGCTCACGGCGCGCAATGCTGAGTTCCTTAACGGACGGTGAGCCTTTCCTGTCGCCCATATAGGTAGTGTAGCTTACTCCATTGATAGTTACGTGCAAGCTACCTGGGACCTCAACGAAGTCCTGGCCAAGAAGGAAGAGATTGTGCGCGACAACCTCCTCGTTACCAAGCTCGCCGGGCCCGCCAAGTCCACTTGAGGGGTATCTTGAATAGAGTTATGCTCCCGTGGAAGGCGCCGATACCTACATTGAGTACGAGTATCGATCGCTCTTTGTGTCACCTGCGTCGTGTGCTGGAGATATTGACATATTTTGGAATCGGATCGTGATAGATCTTGATCTCTGTTCTGTTCGATGTGCACCTTTCAGTACTGTATTTCGTGCGAACCTGTCAAAGCTTAGCGGAAAGAGCACCCGAGCTTAGGTCTGAATAGTTGAGATATCCGAGATAAGATAAGATGTCGCCGCCGCCGGTCAACTCGGCCCGGCCTGACCCGACCGTCCATTCGAACTTCGCGCCGCGCCGTCTACCATCGACCGCCATGGCCCGCTGAGAGCCCTTTCCTGACCATCCCGCATTTACATCGACCACCTGAGCAACTCTTAAAGAAAGGAGCTCCTGCTTCGATAGCATCTACCAGTAGGCTTCTCATTGCGAATTCTCACGGCCCGGTCCGCGTCGTTGTCCCCGACAAGTTCGAACAGCGCTGGTGTCGGAGTTAAGGCGACTTGTACGACAGGAGTCCTTCTCCATCAGATAAACAGCAAGCCTCAGCGAGGAGCTTTCTGACCTTGAGTCAAAATAACCTGATACTCCCAGCACATGCGGTAGCCAACGTGTGGTGAATATCCATGTGTTCACTGATGGCCTCTGCAGTAATCCTACCTATCACTGTCGCTAGCGATATCCATGCAGAAGTTTACGAGCGACTTGAGGTACGCGAGCCACCATTCGTATCTCCGCTTCCGACGGTACAGCAGACTCGCACCTAGGGATGTAAATGCCGAAGTTCGGAATCGGTAAGCACGCCACCGCGGCGATTATGCCGCGCCGTTCACTTTGTGCTCGGACGATCGTCTCTGGAGCATACTGGTCCCAGTTTCTCTACTGCGGGTGGGGTATATAAATGACATGACCTTGACCGACGGTCTGAGCATCACCCTCAGCAGCCCTTTGGCCCCAAACGTCACTCGCCCGTCCGGAACTAAGTACGCCATGCCAGATTCATTCACTAGTCCTGAGATTGAAATATTCACCGGTGTACACGAGTAAGCAATGTTCCCGGCCTTTTGATTTGATTGGCACTGATCATGCCTTGCGCAGCGTGTATCCGTTGATCGACCCCGAGTCTCACTTCGCTCACAAGACGTTCAAAGACAAGGTCGTTCTCATCACCGGCGGCTCAACCGGCATCGGCTTCACTACGGCACAGTTCTATGCTAAGGCTGGAGCAAAGGTTCTCATCCTCGCGCGTAACGTGGAGAGGCTGGCACAGGCAAAAGCAGCGATCGAGAAAGATGTTTATGGCGCAGATGTTATCATCCAGTCCGGGGACATTACGGATCCAGAGGTCAGCAAGCAAGCAGTGACGGCTGTCCTTTCTGCGTGGAATCGCCTAGACATCGTTATCGCGAATCAGTTTGGTATCCTTGCGGGCCCGACAAGCAGTGTGTATCATCTCTTTGCACTAGTTTTGTTGGTAATTGACGGGTGATATTCAGGGCTCGCTGAAAAAGACCCGGTCGCCTGGTGGAGGACTCAAGAAGTCAACGTGAAGGGTACTTTGAATATCGCTCAGTGCGTGCTCATCTTAACCTAATTGGCCTGATCTGAGTGTCACCAGCGCCGCTATCCCCGAACTTCTCAAGTCGAAGGGGCAGATAATCGCTACTTCGTCTGCGATGGCACATTTCCGCGTCCCAACAATGATGGACTATAGTGTAAGCCCGGATCTCTGATGCTCCTGGATAGATTGTTTCTTATACTCTCCTTCAGCTCAGCAAACATACACTCAACCGCTTTGTGGAGATTCTTGCTCTAGGTACGTCACATAGTACTCTTCCCAAAGCACATCCATTATTGACCACGCGCGTGTCTTTAGACTATCCGGAGATCACGGCTTACGCTGTGCATCCCGGAGCCATCGTCACACCCGGCTCCAGTGCAGCTGCGAACAGCATGGGGTTGGGTGATAATGTCGAACTTCCCGACACGCTCGAGTTACCCGCTGCAACGTTTCTCTGGCTCACCGCACGCAACGCCGAGTTCCTTAGTGGCCGGTAAGTCTTACTTACAGTCCCATCGGGCGATGCAGCTGACGTCATTGAAGTTATATACAGGCTACCTGGGATCTGGGCGAAGTTCTGGCCCAGAAGGACGAGATTGTGCGCGACAATCTTCTGGTCACGAAGTTGGCGGGGCCTGCTAAGCGCGCTTGATCAAACGGTGTATGCTATAACGATGTCATGACAGTACTATCTGGATAGAACGTAGAGCTTGTTGCGACTGTGTAGGATACATGCAAGCCATGATCACAAAACAACATTCAACGGTGCATAAGAAGTCACCTCGACGGCCTTCGCCGATGATTTAGTCGCCGGGCGGCCGGGCTTGCGGCCCGATCTCGGGTGGCCATTTGTGCGGCCGCCCACTTGCCGCCCACAACGCGTAACGCGCAACCACGACCACATACATGCCGCCAGTGGTCTGCTTGGTCCCCAACACTCACACGATATGCGGAGACTCTCAGTAGCGTGCTTGATTGGCGATTTTTCTTATCGTATTACCCATCAGTTGCCTGCTGAGCCTGTCTCCTCGAATACATGTGGCGCAGGGCGAAAGAGTGGGCAAGGAGCACCGTCGATCGCCCTCTTGCAAGTTGCACATTCCGCCTAGCGAGCGCACCCACTTGAGCCCACTACTCAGCTGAGGCCTCCAATAGTGGTCTTCGGCAAGGAGGGACATGCAAGGCTGAGAACAAGCGCTCCGACTTGGCTAGAGAAGGGATGCATAGCCGTCAACAACGTGAGTGCATACGCCATATTCTTAATACAGCATCCTACAGTCGCTTACTCAGCTGTACACAGATTGCAACGCGTCAAGAGTATATTCACCTCGTGATGGAGCTCACGCAATGGACAGCAGTTCCTCGCGGCGACTTCTCCGCACTCACATCCTAGAAGTCCGCGCGCAAGAAAGGAACTCGAGCCTGCGTACAAATGCATATCACGAACATCGACATGGCGTGACTGCTCTGCGCTTTCATATATAATCAGCCATCTGGTACGAGGAGGGCCAACCACTACGCCATTCATCATCTTGTGTCAAGCTTGTCTACGATGCCTAAACTATCTCTTGGCGACGAGATCGAGATATTCAGCCCTGTGCATGAGTAAGCCACCTCTCCATTTATACATAGGACCTTCACTGATTTGGGACGCAGCATATACCCTCTCATAGATCCTGCGCCTCATTTCGCTTCCAAGACGTTCAAGGATCATGTCGTCATCATCACCGGCGGGTCGGTCGGGATTGGCTTTGTCACCGCCCTATTCTACGCTCGCGCTGGTGCCAAGGTCCTTATCGTCGCACGTCGATTGGAGAATCTCCTTCAAGCCAAGAAGGACATTAAAGAGGATGTTCAAGGTGCCAAAGTTGAGACCGTCGCCGGTGACATATCCGATCCCGAGGTTGGAAAGCGCGCTGTCGAGGTAGCTGTAAAGGCCTGGGGAAGAATCGACATCGTGATAGCCAACCAGTTCGGAATCATTGGCGGTCCTGTGGGAAGTGCGTCAGTTCCATGTCAAGACAGACAACCAAGGATGAACATCTCCTTTGCTCAGGGCTTGCAGAGAAGGATCCCGTGGCTTGGTGGCGTACCCAGGAGATCAATGTTCGAGGCACGCTAAACATCGTACAGTGAGTGCTCAGCGTGCATTTCTAAACTACCGCGCTCATGCATGTCATTGTCAGCCCGGCAATACCCGAACTCCTCAAAACGAAGGGCCAGATTATTGCCACCACATCGGCGGCGGCCCATGTGCGCATCCCTGCATTCTTCGACTACAATGTATGCGCCATACTGCTTACCAAATAATACATCTCTGACGACATACGTAGATTAGCAAGCATACACTTGACCGCTTCATCGAAATCCTCGCGATCGGTACGCGCCCGCATCATCTTGTGTTATATCTGTGGACTGACTCACTTGGCCATCCAGACTATCCAGAGCTGACGGCGTACGCCGTGCATCCTGGGGCGATCCACACGCCAGGCTCTAAATCCACTCTGTCGGATATGGGGCTCGAGGGTGCCTTTGAGCATCCTGACACGGTCGAGCTTCCCGCTGCAACATTCCTCTGGCTGACTGCGCGCAAGGCCGAATTCCTCAGCGGCCGGTAGGTATTTGTTTCACCTCATGGAATTATAAATCTCATGCGCGCACAGGTACATCCAGGCTCCTTGGGACCTTAACGAGGTTCTGGCCAAGAAGGACGAGATTGTACGCGATAACTTGCTTGTCACCAAGTTGGCCGGGCCCGCCAAGCCTGCGCCTTGACTTGAAGGGCATAACTTTACGTCCAGCATGTTCTCTTGGTCGTTGCTGTCGAAGACATGTACTGTAAATATGGGTGATCCGTCATCACACAGATATCTGACGGGTTGATCCACCTGGAATGAATGGCCACGATGTGGCGGTTCGGGCTTCCGGGCCGCACGTGACAGAACGCGACGCGACGCGGCGGAAGCGATCGTAACTCCGTACCACCATGAGCGGACTTGAGTTAAAGTTGTTTCCCCTCCTTTTGTCAATCTGGCATGGCACTGGATGTGAGACACCCATACGACGACATACCATCACAGGAGCTCGCGTGCTCATGCCGCATGTCTACGCAATTGTTGGTCCTAGGTTTTACTCTCACAGTCTTGAAACCTGCAACACTTCCTTTCTCATACATGTACATGCACCAGGCTTAACTTCTTCGTACCTTTGCGGACCAAAGACATAAGTGGATCTTGGATGATCGGGCTGTGAAGGGTAGTCTGATTCAGAAGTTTCTACTCATGTGCGACCCACCTGTTTATTCTCTAGGGTGGTCTCGTCCTTGCGCACTTCGTCTACAGACTCTCAGGCGGGATAGAACCCGTTGGAACTGACGACGCGTCAGCGTTTTACGCAAAACCGCGCTCTGTCTCGGTATTCCCCCTCGCGGCGATTGTGCCGCACCTACTGATTGATTATAAACCAGCGATCGACGAAGTAACCCATACAGGGTACACGCTCTCGTACTTAAGCTCCTGGGTACTTCCCCTTCCAAAACCTTGATCATCCTCGCACTTTGTCTGAACACTATGTCTGAATTTATACTAGACGAAATCGAGATCTTCACTCCTGTGCATGAGTGAGTCGTATTTCCCCTACGCTTCAGACCCCCAGACTCTGACCCCGCATGTAGTGTATACCCATTGATAGATCCCGCATCGCAATTCGCGAACCAGACTTTCAAGGACAAGGTTGTAATCATCACCGGAGGCTCTGTTGGAATCGGATACACCACGGCCCTCTTCTACGCTCGTGCTGGCGCAAAGGTCGTCATCGTCGCGCGCCGCATCGCGGTTCTCGAAGAGGCCAAGCAGAAGATCGAGAAGGAGGTCAAGGGAGCTCAGGTCCAGGTCGTCGCTGGTGACATCTCCGAGCCCGAGCTTGGCAAGCGCGTCGTGGATGCAGCGGTGAAAGCTTGGGGCAGAGTCGACATTGTGATAGCCAACCAGTTCAGTGTTGTAGGTGGTCCTATCGGCAGTACGTTATCCCTTGATCCGGATGAGATTATCCTCGATAACATCTCCACGTAGAACTCGGAGACAAAGATCCCGCGGCATGGTGGAACACCCAAGTGGTCAATGTTCGCGGAACTCTCAACATCGTGCAGTGAGTAGCGTACGTTGTCTTATGAGGCGATCCACTGACGAGATGTGCGCACCAGTGCGGCACTTCCCGAGCTTCTCAAGACCAAAGGTCAGATCATCGCTACCACGTCGGCTGCGGCGCACGCTCGCTTCCCGCCATTCATGGATTATAGCGTATGCATGAGTTCTTCACATGAACCATGCCTTCCGTAACTCTCTTCTTCAGGTCAGCAAACATACTCTGGACCGCTTCATCGAGATCCTTGCTCTCGGTATGTCGATCAAAGCATCTGGAAATGCTTGTGCCGACTGAATCCAATGTGTCTCCAGACTACCCGGAGATATCATCATACGCCGTTCATCCTGGAGCTATCGTCACGCCCGGTGCCACAACTACGTTGACCGAGATGGGTCTCCAGGGCGTGCTCCCGCAGCCCGATACAGTCGAGCTTGCTGCCGCGACGTTCCTCTGGCTCACAGGACGCAACGCTGAGTTCTTGAGCGGCCGGTAAGTGTATTTCGTTACCGCTTGCCGCCCAATCCTGATCTTCTCCAAGCTATGTGCAGGCCACTTGGGACCTCAACGAAGTTCTCGCCAAGAAGGACGAGATTGTGCGAGACAACCTGCTCGTCACCAAGTTGGCAGGTCCCGCAAAGTCCGCGTAAAGCATCGGTCATGTACTAGTAGACACAATCTGTATTCAATATGCAAGGCTATCGCACTTCTGATGAAGTGATGAGAGTTCGGGTCCTCGGGGCCGAACTCCGATCTGAATGCAGCGTGGCTAGGTCGGGCTCGGTTCAGTTTGCAACTCGCCGCCATGTACTCTCTAAGGTGCAAGGAGTACTATCATCTCACCCTCGTTATACATATCTATGCTCCTCGCGGAGAATGCCGGACTGCTGCCGCAAGCCTCGGTGTATGATCGCCTGCCAGTGGTTGGACGCCTAGCGCCTGGGACCTCTGGAATGTGTCACTCGAACGATCCCGGCTTCGTGCCTGCTACCATTCCTTGGCTATCCATATGAGTGGCTGTTCACTTTGAGCGCAATATCTACGGTTGTGCTCTTAGACGCCGGTCCGTCATAGTTGGTCAGTACAGGACAGCCTCAGCCCTTCCATTGTCCTACATTCCAACATACATCACTCGCCGTTGTATCAGTTCGAGTGCCCGTTTGCTTACTTGCGGCATCAACAGCACCTCGGATTATACACCATCGATTGCCTCAGCGTCAGAAACACCTGTGATGGCGATATCGACAATCTTACAAAGCAACAAAACCTAGTTCACGCAACGTCAAGAGCACCTCGCGGCGGTTTCGCCGCAGGCGCCAGTTGCGATATCACCAAGACGCGGTGGTCTTCCGCGAGACTACCAATGCGATTCACGAAGTGGATGAGTACACAGCGCTGCAGGCAACCGTATAAATGCGACGGTCTTCCTGGCTCTTGGAATACCCATACAATTCCTCACCGCGCGCAAACCATCCACAATGTCTGAAATCCCCGGCCAGGACGAATACGAGATCTTCAGTCCGGTACACGAGTGCGTCTCCTGTCCTGGCGTATCTATATATGCTCATGATGTCATTCATTCGCAGTGTCTATCCACTGATTGATCCCTCCTCGCACTTTGCGCACAAGACCTTCAAGGATCAGGTCGTGATTATCACTGGCGGTTCGGTCGGTATCGGATTCACCGCGGCTCTCTTCTACGCTCGGGCTGGTGCTAGGGTTCTCATCGTCGCTCGCCGCCTCGCGAATCTCGAGCAGGCCAAGGGAGACATTGAGAAGGAGATTCCAGAGGCTCAGATCCAGGTCATTGCCGGAGACATATCCGATCCCGAAGTTGGCAAGCGTGCGGTAGCGACAGCAGTGGACGCATGGGGGAAGATCGACGTTGTGGTGGCGAACCAATTTGGTATCCTGGGTGGTCCAATCAGCAGTGGGTCTATCCTGAGCACGATCACGAGAAGATCATATGATCTTGACATGACGACTGCGCAGAGCTCGGAGAGAAGGACCCAACGGCTTGGTGGCACACGCAGGAGGTCAACGTGCGCGGGACTTTGAATGTCGTCCAGTAACTCTCGTCCGCTCCTGCACCGGAGTACTCTGGCTCACAGTGGTCTACAGCGCTGCCATTCCCGAACTTCTTAAGACCAAGGGGCAAATCATCGTGACTACATCCGCCGCGGCGCATATCCGGTTCGCTCCTTTCATGGACTACAGTGTGCGTGTGCTGCGGTTCACTCATACTCTTGTATCTGACTCGTCTATTACAGATAAGTAAGCATACGCTGGACCGCTTCGTCGAGATCCTCGCACTCGGTATGTACTACCACCAATCCCCTCTTTGCGGCAACACCTAACCACCCCATTCGCTCGCACATACAGACTACCCGGAGATCGCGGTCTACGCGGTGCATCCCGGGTCCATCAAGACGCCTGGTGGACAAGTCGTTGTATCAGATATGGGCCTAGAGGGGATGCTACCAAGCCCAGATACAGTCGAGCTTCCCGCCGCAACATTCCTATGGCTCACGGCTCGCAATGCTGAGTTCCTGAGTGGCCGGTAAGCATCTTACGTCTCTTGTGCACGGCAATACAACTCACCTGCTCGAAGATACGTCCAGGCAACTTGGGACTTGAACGAAGTCGTGGCCAAGAAGGAGGAAATTGTGAGGGACAATCTCCTCGTTACAAAGCTTGCGGGGCCGGCGAAGTCTGCGTGATTGCTTTGGGAATCTGCCAGTGCACGTCGCATCACATGATATAAAGCATGTAGAGTTGAGTCGTGTGCCTCATGCTGAATGATCCTGTATAGCCAATAGCGCTACTGCAGATGGGTTCCAGACGGACTGAATGCAAATGTTTGGGCGCCTGATCTCAAGACAGCCGCGCAGTACTTTGCATGAATCAGCAGTACACCTCCTGCACGGTCTCGATCGACGGAAAACCCGTCAAGTGCTTGGTAAGCCCTCTACCTAGAGGGCTCCGGTTCACGAACCGATGGTCTCCGACGGCAAGTCTACCGCGCATTCCGCTCATTTTGGACGGAATTGGCGGGAGACTATGGACTGGTTGAACATACCGATCAGCATATCCTTGGAGCAATGAGTAAGGGTGGACTCAGTATAAAGAGCGATCCCGTTGAGACGAATGAAGCCATCATTACCCTGCTCGTACTCTCTTCATCCTTCTACGATGTCTGGAACCGATGCCAAGTTCACCTTCCCTATGGAAGAAGTCGATATCTTCAGCCCTGTACACGAGTAAGTCTTTGATGTCACCGATCGTAGAACGCCTAGTACTCACCAGGTGCCGCCCTTGTAGCGTGTACCCATTGATCGACCCAGCGTCTCATTTCGAGTCGAAGACCTTCAAGGACAAAGTGGTCATCATCACCGGTGGCTCTCTTGGTATTGGCGCAACTGCAGCTCTCTTCTATGCTCGCTCGGGAGCCAATGTCCTTGTCGTCGCTCGTCGCCTCGATAACCTCGAGAAGACCAAGCAGGGCATCGAGAAAGAGGTTCCAAACGCCAAGGTCTTGATCCTTTCAGGGGACATTGTTGATCCTGAGGTTGGGAAGCACGCCGTGAAGACCGCTGTCGATGCCTGGGGCAAGGTTGACATCGTTTTGGCGAACCAGTTCACCAATATGACGCCTGTTGGGAGTGAGTCCGACGCTTGATGCGTAGCACAATGAATGACCGTACTGACTGCATCTGCACAGAACTGGGGGAGAACGACCCGGTAGCTTGGTGGGTCACGCAAGAGGTCAACGTGCGAGGTACTGTCAACATCGTCCAGTATGTCGAGTGTGGACCCTGTGCGCGACATTCGGACTCACATTCCGGTGAAGCGCAGCCATCCCCGAGCTTCTCAAGACGAAGGGCCAGATCATCGCGACCACCTCTGTAGCAGCGCATGCACGGTCGCCCATCTCGATGGACTACAGCGTATGATGAGCGCTGATACCCCATCCTTTTAGTACTTAGTCACTCATATTGCGTTCAGATCAGCAAGCACACGCTTGATCGCTTTGTAGAGATCCTAGCCCTGGGTAATGGTCTGATGTCAACTTCATGGCTGTCAGTGTTAACGGTTAAGTCCAGACTATCCAGAGCTCACAATCTACGCCGTACATCCCGGCGGAATCAAGACACCTGGCTCTGACAGAGCATTGGGAGATATGGGTCTCATAGGAGTCGTTCCGTTGCCCGACACGCTTGAGCTTCCCGCAGCAACATTCCTATGGCTCACCGCCCGCAACGCCGAGTTCCTCAGCGGCCGGTAAGCGGCCTTCTCTGCCAACATGCAACGAATGTGCTCATCGGGTGCTAGGTACATCCAAGCCACTTGGGACCTTAACGAGGTTCTGGCGAAGAAGGACGAGATTGTACGCGATAACCTGTTAGTCACGAAGCTCGCTGGGCCCGCTAAGTAGGGATGAGTACGCGGCTGCTTGAGTTGATGGCCGAACCGGAAGCGCTGTAACTTGTTGTATACAATTCGTACTCAGCATCAGACTCGTGTATAGGAACTATGTGCATCCTTGGTCTTAGCTGTAGTAGGGCCACTACCGCAAGTTGCGGAGCCGCGATTGTTGACGCCTATGTAAGAGAGACCAGGCCATGCATCACGGTGAAAGAGCGCGAACAAGCGGCGTCCGTTTGCTGTCGGCCGTCGTCCGTCGCGCACAAGGCGACATTCGGCATGGGCGCATGGGCTCGGAAGTGACGGTCATCTGCAACTTCCGTCCGCACGAAGAGCACGAGTTCGTGCAGAGCCACGATGACGCACAATCGGCGCAAACAGGCGCCCAGCCCTCACTGGCCTGAGGTCTGGCGAAGCCCGAGGCCCAGTACATTTGGTGTTATATATCAGCTCGCGGCCGCTATTCTCTGAGCTCTCCAGATCACTACCACTACCCACCTTAAGCGCCAGGCGGACTCGGACACGTCACTCACTTCCGGGCGCTTGAGGTACCTTCAATTGCTGCACACCTGCTGGCCACTTGAGCGTCGCCCTTGTCACTACTGCACTCGTCGTACTACCATGCTTGAGCCTGAGACCGACCCTCAGCCAGCCACGCTAATCGGTATCCGCGTGCCTCCGGCGGCCATCAGCGCGTACATGACTGCGCATCATCAAGCGAGCAACAGCGCGCGCCTATTTCTTCATCACCTTGATCGCGCGCTCGATGGCGGACGCACACCGCTGGCACTCGTATACATTTCTGGCGATGAGGATGTTGTAGATGTTGAGGAGATAGATGCCGAGGGAGACGATGCCGAGGACGCGGTGGATGAGGAGGCCTTGGGGACGAAACCGGACCAGGTCAACGCGGCGAACCCTGCGCAGGCGACTACACAGAAGATCGAGTCTGCCCAGGCTTCAAGTTCAAGCACAGGCGAAGATCCTCCAGCCTACATCTGCTTCTTCGTGGATACGCGCTCGGCGCCTACGAGTGCCGCGAAGCTGTCAAACGTGCCCGTGCCGCCGGCTTTCGCGCGCGTACAAGAGCTTCTCGGCGTGAAGACTGATGCCGAAGCTTCGGGTGCGGAGGGCGGTGTTGAGCGCCTATTCGTCCCTCGTGCCCGAGTGTACGCATACGACGTCGCTGGGATCTTGGTGGACCATCTACCCCCGGACGCGTGATGGAGAACGTCGACAGAATTAAAGGATATCCGGTACCGGTTAAGATGGCAAGCAGCTCTTCCGCCCGCAATCATGTATCTTCCAACAACCTGTACACTATAATGACTGAAGGAATATGTTGAGCAATGCGTCGATGCCGCCAATTATCCATTCGTTCGGACCCCATCACCCTACGTATAGTGGCGATTGAGAAGAACGCCGACGCCACGCCGCAAGCAACGCCGCGCTCGCGCTATACGCGCCCACCTTCGACTCAAACCACCACCAGCTGTATGACTTCGCTGCTCGCATGCTGCCTCATGTGAAACAACCACACTCTGAGTCAAGGCGCATAGCCGAATGCTGTGGTTAGCTACTTCAGCGGCGTATAAGGGCAGGGCGCCGAAAGCGACTGCGATGCACGCCCAGATCATCACTGTACAGAGTAGGCCTTCGCCATCGTACTGGACTTACCCCATATCTCTCCCTCTCAATCCAAACTCACCGAGCGGTGCCGGGATACAGTCCGAGGGCGACGATGTGCCAACTGAGGCAACAAGAACAGTGCCGCCCCACCACACGTCTCGGTTACGAGGAAGATACCGAGCCGGAGCCATCTTTGCAGCAACAAGTTGCAAGGGCCTCGGCTTCCTCAGCAGTCAAGCGCAAGCATTATCGTATGGCTATGAAGGCTACTGGGAAGGCGCTGGCAGAGTATGGGACCACTCGAGACATGGTGAATGCCGTATGCGATGCGTTGGACGGTTCGTCTTCATAGTACATCCTCAGATCCTTGTCGTTACTCACTTGAACCTGTCCATACATAGCGCACAAGGAGCTATATGAGGATACCGGTCTGTTGCATCGCGACGTCAGCCCAGGCAACATCTTGATCATGCACGGCGGTTGTGGCACACTCGTCGACTGGTTGTACAGCAAGGATAGCACCCATCCTTCCCGAGTGCCAATGAAAGGAGGGCTCGCGTGTGTAAGTGGTTCTATTAGAACTGAGTATGGATGGACGCATGTTGAGCATCATCACAGGAACCATTCAGCTCTTACAGACTCCAGCGCGATACCGGCAAGCAGCCCTACCTGTACGACGATCTGGAGTCGTTCCTATGGGTGACGCTATATATGGTAAAGTGTCATGTTCGCATTGATTGTTTGCAACGCAAGTTCTCAATACCTCTTAGATCGTGTGTTATCGACCCTTGCCCTTCAGTTCGGCCGCGCTACAAAGTGTCATACAAAGCACGTTCCACTCACCAAGCCCTGCAGGTATGGCCAACGAGCGCTGTCGAAACCAGCGCGGCGTTGGCAAGATCCAGTTCCTTCGTGGCGAGTGGATTGACAACGCGGTGGCGCGGTTCAGTGCATACGATGGAATTGTCCCGACTCCTGTCACGGCTCTCCTCCAACGCCTGACCGAGATATTCAGTCCTCTCTACCCCAAGCCGTCGAATATCGACTATGGAAACGAGAGAGAAAGATCTTGGATGGCTCAGAATCTTATCGTTCGCCTACCAGCCGGCTTCACCCGGGGCATGGGTCGCAAACAAGCCGCTGTAGCCAAGGCCGCGTATATCGCTCAACATAAGGCAGCAGGCACGCTGGAGTTTGTGCAGCCTCCGACCATTCCACCCCCGCCGGAGATCGACTACAGTCAAGTTTCCACGCACACGACCGTGCTGCAGTATTTCACATACGCGACGATTCAAGACGATCTTCTTTGGGATATCGGCGACTGCGCGGATAAGGCGCTTAATCCTCCTGCGCTTACGAGGAGCATCAAGTCCAGAAGACCACCTGTCCCCGTTCTACATAGTGTGATGTGATGCGTAGCTGGGCGCGGAAGACATATCCTGCCATCGATTCCAACAGGAAATGTCATGGGCTGCCGCTACGTTCATCTCCTAGAGCAGGGCTGTGTAGTGTAGAGCAGATCATTTCTTTGTATCTTCAGTAGTTTTGGGCAAATACATTCAAGCTCCCCGTTCTTTGCGTATCGTCTCGCCCAAGCGGCGCAAAGCTTCGTCAACATCATGCTCCTCAAGCAGACTGAAGCTTGCGCGGACGTACGCCGTACGCGCGCCATTGGGTAAGAACACGGTGCCGGGCAACGCCAACACGCCGTTCTCATACGCCTTCGTGCGCACGAGCTCTTGAGAGTCGTCGTTTTCGCCCTGACCGAGCAGTAGCTTGAACCTGTGCGCGTGCCGCTCAGTTCGATGTAGTACCCGGACGCTGGAAGGGCTACGTACCAGAAGAACATGCCAGCCTGGGGTGTTTCCCACTCCGCCAGACCGTCAAGGTGACGGCGCATCGCGTTCTCGAACACGTCTCTCTTCTCACGGTAGAACGCGCTAACATTCTCCGTGTGCTTCTTGAAGCCCTCGTATCCCCAGTCGCTCAAAAGGGTCACAATGACAGCCTGCACGAAAGAGCTCGCTTGTAGGTTCGCCGAAGCCGTGTGCGAGTCCATCGCTTTGAGCAACGCCGCGGGGCCCGTTGCGAAGCCAAGACGTACCCCGGCGCTGAGAATCTTGCTGAAGCTGTCGAAGCGAAGGACACGCCCGACGTCGGGGCCAGTCTGCGCCTCAAGCGTGAAGTACGAAGGGATGCGAGGTGCAGTTCCGAAGTAAAGGTAGTAGTAGGGGTCATCTAAACGGCTGTCAGGGAGTGGCAAGCATTGTCGGGGAAGTCAGAGCTTACCCTCGAAGATCATGAAGTTATGTTGGCGTGCGAGTTCAAGAACCTCAAGGCGGCGCTCAAGGGTGGCTGTCATCCCGGTCGGATTGCAGCCATACTAAACGCCTGCTGAGCTAAGTTGAAGCTTCTAGGATGAATGTTACGTACGGGAACCGTGTACAGGATCTTGGGCTTAGGCTTGCCTGCCGGCCAGTTCTCGAGGGCTTGACGGAGAGACGAGGACAAGATGCCGTGCGAGTCGGTCTCGATCTCTATTGCCGACGGTCAGAGATCGCCCGCATGATTGGCACATGAAGCTCACCTATCATCTCGCAATGAAGCGACTGGAACATGGGTATGACACCGCTACCAGATAGATGTCTGAGCGAGGTGAACATAGTGGCATTCAGTCAACGTACGCGTAGACAGGCTTCTCGACAAAGATCGAATCGCCAGGGTTGACCATGGACGTTACAGCCTATGATCGAACACTGGACTTCAGCACTTCAAATACTGGCTTGCAGTGTCGTATACTGTACCTTGTAGATCGCATCTTGTGAACCAGCAGTGACACTGACGCGCCATCCTTCATTCCTGTTCCTCTTGTGCTCCGTCTCCTGCAGCATCGTAAGCCACTCCACGGCTGGAGGGATGCCATCTGTCCCGCCGTACTGCAGGCCCTGACCCAGAAGGTCCGGGGCAACGTCGAGCTTGTACTCGCGATCAGGATTAGTAGGGTCACGCGTGCCAAACGTGACGGATGTGAAGGGGAACATCGAGCCGCTTGGCTTGCCCGCCAATAGCGAGAGCACGCCCGGCTTCTTCTCGAGGGGAAAGAGTCCGCGAACTAACATATGTGCGACGGATTAGACCGGTGGCATGGGATACTAGCGGATTGGCGCACTAGGAGAGGGCTTTCGCGCTTTGGCGACATCAGATAGGAAAGGGGTGTAGAACTCTTCCGGAAGCGGTTGCACGCTGTGGCTGGTACTAGTCTCCTACGCCCGCAGCAGTGGATTAGGATCGTGTTCCCAGAGCCATAGACTGGGATCGTACAGAGGGCTGTGCTTGGGCGCCAGTGAAGACGGGCGCTCCATCTGCGCTCGCGATAGCAGTTTCTTTGCTCATAGCGGGTCAAGGATGTCTAGCAGGAGAATTTTGTGCGTCCAGAGATTCAGATCGTACAGCTCAGTCCAGATCAAGAGTACCGGGCAGAGCGTAAGTTGAAGCGTCCAAGTAGTGATGTACCGACTCGGCTGCTTATGAGGGTACAGGTTGAAGCGTAGATCTACAGCTGACTCGAGCCTGACTCGAAGGGGATGTGGGGGTTGTCGACATGCTCTCCGTCGATCCCGTCGTCGGCGTTCCGGACGTCGGCAAATGACGCGCACTCAAGACTCGGTTCAACTTTCCCGTGACGCGTTACGTCACGCGTCGATCACGTTTGCATCGGTGTTGTGTTGGTTGTCGGACGCGTTGCCCGGGGTTGAACCACAACGACCATGTCTCAAGCACCTGGTACTCCTCGACGCTCTCGAAGACGCGCCCAGCCAAGCATCCTCGGTGCAAAAGCCTCGTCAAGCCAAAACGGGACTGATTCCTGGGCGTCTCAGACTCTGCTTTCCCGACCAACTTTACCTGAGGATCTACCTGACCAACAAGAACTTCCGGAGGACGAAGATGACAGGCCTCTAACCCGATTCTACTCTGCTTTTACTCGAAGGGCCGCTGCTAGCGCTCCCGTGCGTACTCGAACAAAGAAGCCTCCGGCGCGAAGGAGCTCCGGCGGCGCAGGCGACGTGACCTTCGCTATCGGAGACACGGTATCAGTGACCACCGGCATCTTGAAGACCAGTGTAGCCGTCATCACAGGACTCTGGGAGATTGACGGCGATCTGGAGGACGTAGAGCTGAGGGACGACAACGGGCTACCCAGGTCCTGGTGTGGCATTCACTGGTTCATCCGGCCACGCGAATTGCCAAAGAACCGCGCGGAGCGTGCACACTACGAGGTCGGGAGGGCCACTGCTATGTATTGGATGCATTTCTGAATTATGTTTAGAATGAAATATACTATACCATTGACGGCACCGCTGTAATTCCGACTACTAGCATATCTGCGCACTGCACCGTGACGAGCAAACCAGCGAAGGATAGCGTCAAGAAGACGCCGACGGCCTGGGCTGGGGCCTCAGATCAGCTTCATATGGACAAACTATATTGTGGCTATGCGACAGACTCGCAGCGCGGACTATACTTCAACATCGACTGGGACGCTCACTGCCAGCGTGCGGTGTCCGCATCTGAGGATGTCGGCCCTGACGCATTGCCAGAATGGTCAGGCGGTGGGGCTTGGGCTGTGTCCGTGGACGATATCGGGCGAGAAAAGGGAAAGAAAGCGCTGGCTCGAATCGAAGAAGCAGATGAAGAGGAAGATCGGGACGACAGCGGGGAGGAATACGCTCAAGGTTCAGGCGACGAAGAGTCCGAAGAGGACGGCGCAGAACCCTCCGAGGAAGAGCCCTCAGCTGACGAAGCCTCCTCGTCAGACGAACCCCGGGCGTCTCGCAAGCGCAAGCGTGGAACGGGCCAGCCTTCCGCACCCCGTAAACGTGCGGCCCCTGGGTCAGTCTCTACGCCGCGTAAACGACATTCTGCCTCGGTCGCGCATGCAACCCCGCGCTCGAAGCGCGTCATATCGCGGGGACGCAAAGGGAAAGGCGCAGCGCTCCCACCACCACCCGAAGTCGTGATACCGTTGGCAAAGCTTCCCGCCGACCCATGGTTGCGCGCTATGCATGTCCTGCATGTTGCGGCGCGACCTGAAGAGCTACCCTGTCGCTCAGAAGAGTATAGTCGGGTCATGCGCTCAGTCGAAGAACTACTCGAAGAGGGCAGCGGTGGCTGCATCTGTGCGTATGCGTACACGTCGCGTCTTCATCTTTCTCACCCAGATGCCCCCTATACAGACATATCCGGCGTACCTGGGACCGGAAAAACCGCGACTGTTCATGCCGTTGTGCGCGAACTGAAGCGGATGGCCGCAAACAACGTAAGTCGTGTACTCGTGCGTTCACATTGCGTGCACTGAAGCCGCTGTAGGAGACCAATCCCTTCACGTATGTGGAGATTAACGGCCTTCGAATACCCGAGCCTTCCGCTGCATATGGTGTCCTTTGGGAAGCGCTGTCAGGACACGATGTCTCCGCCGACGGCCCGCTTCGGATAAGCGCTAAGGAGGCTCTGAAAAACTTGACTAGACATTTCGGTTCTGGGGGACGATCGGGTCCTGGAAGACACGCCTGGTACGTTCATCACCTCGGGCGGCGGGCTTATAGAATGCTATTGACTGATACCTGGTAGTGTCGTGTTGATGGACGAGCTCGACCAACTGATGACAACAAAACAAGATGTCGTTTACAACTTCTTCAACTGGCCAACGCTAGTCGGGTCGAAACTTGTGGTTCTCGCGGTCGCCAACACGATGGATCTTCCTGAACGTGTCATGACCGGACGCGTTCGCAGCCGTCTCGGTAAGCCCCATCTCCTTCTCCCGCCCAGATTACCCTTCATCACGGTGCGGGAACGCTAACGAAGATCTTTCTTTTGTTCGACAGGTATGATACGGATCAACTTCCAGCCTTATACAACGCCGCAACTGCAAGAGATCGTACAGTCGCGCCTCGCAAGTGCGAAGCACGGTCTCCGTACTTCGGCACCAGACGTGATGCTCCCAGATGCCATTAAGTTTGCAGCGATGAAAGTGTCGAGCTTAAGCGGCGACGCTCGGCGCGTGCTGGATATTTGCCGGTACGTGATGTCTCGGCGCATTAGCTATCTATTTTTGACATCGTGTAGGCGCACTGTTGAGCTCGCGCAGCCACAGGGGCGAGCGGCGAAGATAGCAGACGTGCAGGAGGTTATCAAAGTTATGCAGAATAGTCCGACGGCGGCTTTCCTGCGTGACTGCAGCTTCCACGAAAGACTCATGCTTGCGGCGCTGCTCAAGTGCGTGAAGAAGGAGGGCGTGGATGAGATCAAGTGGTCCGACGTATGTTTGTCAGTATCGGGATTAGCGTCGATCGAAAACTGACTTCACTCAGGTGCAACATCAACATTACCTCTACATTGGTGCACTCGCCGGAGACGGTGACTCCACTCGTCACCCCAGCAACACAGAACTTGCCATGGTCCTTGATTCATTGCTTGCATCACATGCGCTACTCATGGAAGACGGGGCGCGGAAACTGGATGCCGAGCGCAAGGTCGTGTTGAATCTCGAACAGATGGAAGTCGAACGCGTGCTCGGCGACGTAGGTGGCCAGCGTTGGAAGAACGCTCTAGGCGTATCATAGCCAACCTTTCCGATATCTTCGGGCTTGCTTGCGCGCCCATCGGAGGGACGCTTTCGTTGTGGCTCGAATAACGTTCGGCAGCGTTGGCTTGTTCGACTATTATGGCGCGCAGGTGCCGGGCACTCGGCACACGGCATAGCGCCGTCTTCGTGCCTTCACCTTTTGTCATAACAAGCTCAAGCTTTGACTCTTCTTGATCTGAGGCTCTGACTGTTGCCGTGTCAGTCTGTACCTGACAATCTGTTTACCTCGAGGTTTGTGGATGTAACCTCGTGGGTCCTAGATTATAACAATGACCAGACATACTATTGAGGTCTCCTTGTTCGTGTCTTCACGGTGATATAAGAACGACTTCCTAACCGCCTATTCTCTTTTTTTCACGGATTATGAGAGGCTTATAGCACCGGTGTTGAGAGTTTGTGGACGTCAGACATCCGCACTGGGCGCAGGAGGCAGCCCTATCACACGTGTTGTTCTTCGATCTCACGTCGTTTGTTCATCTCCCGGTGTCCACGGCGCGGACGAAATAAGCGCTCCTACACCTGCTCAATCTGGCATGGGTTGTGATCTATATAGCTTTGAGGGCAAGTTCATGCGAAGAGTATAAGAGCCCGGATGCGATCAGAAGCTAGTCGGTCTTCACTCCCTTGAACCGCGATTGCCTACGTGGTGCTACTATGTCGGCCTACGAGGCACGATACGATCAACCCCCACCTCCCAATGTGCAGATGCCCACACCTCAACAATCCTGGCCAACCGAGTTGCCGCCCTCCGTGGGACCTCGATCTCAGTACCCTGCAGCACCCCCTATGATGCACGCTGTTACCGAGCCGCCACCCATATCCATGGGCGGGCAACCGGGTTTCGCCAACTTCGACCGCTTT